TGAAATGAGCAGGATTGAATTGAATTGTTTATTTGCCCTGCTTTTGAGAAAGTCTGAGTTTCATCACGTATACTTGCAAAGTATTTGTAATGTCTTGTGCAAGGAACCTAGTCCTGCATGTATCCTTTAAGAAGTACCACATCACAAGAGAGATGGTAGAGCGATCGGAACCTTTCTCTGACTAAATTGGCTTTGATGCTTTGTATTCAGCAGTTGTTTACACTATAATTTTACTCTTCTTTCGTGATATATTTTAACTTCAGACTGAAAACCAGTGGTTGATGTACTATGAAACTGGACTTTTCTAAAAGCAGAACTGCCTTCCGGTTTTTTTTCCTTCTGTGGTGTTTTTTTTTTTTTGGGGGGGTGGTGGGGTTTGTTGTTTTGTTGTTCTTGGGGGTTTTTTTGTTGTTTTTTTTTTTTTTCCTAACAAAAAAAGAATGTGCTGAATTTGTCTAGTGTTTGATTCCTTTAAGGAACAAAGAAAGAGAAGTAAGGCCATTTTTGTGTACTTCATCTTTCCCTGTATCATGGAAACATGTCCAAACAGTTTTGAGGAGTCTAGACTCTTCAGACTGAGGTGAGGACAGGAATGTTGGGACAAAGACATGATCTATGTACTCCCTGTTATTCTCAGATATTAGTGCTTTGGATAATAGAGGAAATGTTCTGTTTTGCTTTTGAAATTTTAACAGCAGAAATAATTGCTGATTTGGTTGCAGGATGTTACAGTCTTAGAGGCAGGAAAGCATTTGATGGCAAGAAACTCCTAATGCCAGAGCTGTTTGGCTCTGGAAGATTCTGGGAGTCTGCTGTTAGAGGTGGATTGCTTTATCTTTTCCTAACAGATGAATGGGAGAGAATCCTGTGGCTTGGCAGTGTTATTCAAGAAAAACTACCAAAGATGGACCTTTGTAAGAAGCTGAATTTTTAACTGACATAAAAAAATGCAGATATCAGTGAATTTGCAACCAGAAAGTCCACCTGTTGCACAGCATTAACTTCTACTTAGTTTTAAATTTACTGTCATGCACTGAGTGGTCCTCAGTTGCACTGCTGTTGATTATTAGTTGTTTTCACTCTGTTTTCAGGTCCACAGTTCAGTCTTGGAACTGATGAGCAGAAGAGCCCGCTTGAAGACATGCCGTCTTCGGACACTGACATAAATTTGGAGATATCTTTTTCAGAACAGGCAGCTAATTTCAAAGACAGCTCCGTAGGCAAAATGTGCAAGGGTGGAGGGGGTGACACTCTTCTCCCGGTAGGTGTTTCCTGTTTATGCCTCTCATTCTTTGTTTTTACTAATGGTACTGTTTAGATGATATTTATCTGATGGTGAGTGAATTATATTTAGAAGAACATTGTTGGATCCAGCTTCATGGAGATAGACCTTCTCAAGAAAACTCATTTTTGGGAATGGTATTCACAATAACATGGAAGTAACTACTTTTATGCCTATTTATGTCATTGTCTGAATGGCAAAATGCACTCTGTGTAAGCAATAATGCACTGGTAATATTAAGCTGGAATAGTGGCGTGGTAGTTGTACACAAACTGTGTTTTTACATCATTTGTTTACAGCCTTTTTTCCTGTTTTCTGAGGTGTGATGCTTTACCTCTGTAATAAAAAGCTTTGTTGTCATTTAAAAAGGTTGGTGGATGCCTGTAGAAACCTTGTGCGGTTATGCAGTGCAGGTAGGTGAGGGATGAGAATAAGGAACAGAATGGTCTGTAGGGGTCTAGAGTCGAATGGTGGGGAATTAAGGATTAGTTTATGCTTAGTTTTTCTTTCCAACCATTAATTAAAAAAGGCTCGTTCTGAATGAATCCAAATAAAAAAGAAAATCCTCCCAGGCATTTTGTTGTTGATCCTCAGACATCTCTTTGTGGATCTCTTTCTGTCTAACAGTTCATGAACTTGCAGTTATGTATGACCTGTAAACTAATGACTAGCATGAAAAACATCAGGTTTTGGTTTGGTTCCCTCCCCCCAACAGTGTATGCAAACATGTCTGAGTAAACATAGTGTCTGATGTAATAATGTTTCACAGTTCTTCAACCACTTAATTTAGATAAGGACGTGTGCAGTTCTTCAGATAGTAATTATCCCATGTATCCTTTAAACATTATAATAATGTGTAGCTTAAACATTATAAATACTACTACTAATAAATAATAATAATGTTTAGCTTAAACATTATAAACTAGACACTAATGGTGTTTGAGTCATGTTTCTCTAATGCAGCCCGTAACAAGGAAATGATAGCTATGCTCTAACTATATATATACATGCATAATATGTTGTATAAAACATGTATTAGCTACACTTTTAGCTAGGCTTATGAAGGATTGCTCAAAGACATGGCTATGGGATTTCTTCTTTAGTGATGAAAGTTGTTGCAAAATGATAGGGAAAGCAAGGGAGTAACCTGTTTAAATCTAAAATTTGTATTTGTTGCACCTTCATCATTGGCACCTATTTTTAAACATATGTGTTTGTGCGAGTCAATGAAGCCTCAAGGTGGGAAACTATGTACTATATTTAAATTATGTTTGTGTCAGTATGCGCTCTTGTAGTCATGTACCATAACCACCCATTCATCCTTGCTGGCACTGGGTTTGTGCAGGATGAGGAACTAATTCTGGAGAATAATATATCTTTCCAAACGGAAGTAAGTCTTGTCAGCCTTCCTGCTTTGAGTCATGCAAATCACTAATGTCAGGCACAGGCAAGAGTCTTACTTAGAAGCCTGCTAATGGAGTTAAAAAGCTCTGTGAGCTAGGAAGTCTCTCTTGCTCAACCTCTCCACTCATTTCCTTATATTGGTCTCTGACTGCAGCTTCTAAGCATTTAGTGCAATATTAATGAGCCATAATTAAGAATCCTCCTTCCCTAAGAAGGGAACCCCTTTACTATTAAGGCAGCCAGATATGTTAATTTGTGTGCATAAGTGCAGAGGGATTTCTATCCCAATTGTACATGCATAGGATTGTTCACAGATAGCCATTTCCACCACTGTAGGTTGCAAAAGGACACTAAATGTGGTGGTGTGGGGGTGAAGGTGGTTACAAGCAGAACAAAGCCAGACTCTTCTTACAGGTTCACAGTAAAAGACAAAAGGCAGTGAACCAAAATGACTACAGGGGAAATTCTGTTTTGGAAATTAAAAAAGTCCCCATGAGAGCATTAAGCACTGGAATGGGTGCCCAGAGAGGTTATTGGGAGTTTTCAAAATTCGTTGGACAGTGCAACAAGCAACTTAACCAGACTTTGAATTTAGCCTTGCTTTGAGCAGGTAGTTGAATTAGATGACCTCCAGAAGTCACTAGGAAACTAAATCCCTCTATTATTTTAAGATAATCTACTTTTCAACCTATTTGGGAGATTCTCTTGTGATTTAGTCAGTAACAGCAGGCTTCATAATGATAGGGTGTGCCCTGAAGGAAGCTAAGTAATTTGCTACGACTTGGATTATTCACTCAGCTGCAAATCTCTGCTTTTAGAATTTCAGGGTGCCGAAGGACAAAACAGGTACCACAAAGATTGGTGACCTGGCCCCTCAGGACATGAAGAAAGTCTATTCTCTAGCACTGATTGAATTAACTGCTCTCTATGACATACTTGGGACAGAATTCAAGCAGCAAAAAGCTGTAAAAATCAAAACCAAAGGTGAGTCAGTGTTTCATATTCTGAACCAAATGGGTCTGTTTTAATCCAATAAACAAATGCATCAGTTTCTTTATGACCAGCAGCAAATTTGTATTAATATATAAATAGTAACATAGGTCCTGAGCAGCATTCAATTATATGCCTTAACTCAAGGCATACTTTAAGCAAGTTCATGAACATGATCACTCCAGCTATGGGACAGTGCTCTTTGTTTTAGTTGCCCTTGGCTGGAGATGCTGAGAGCCATTGCCAACCACTTTCCTCTTCTGAGTGGTACAGACTTTCCTGTGCACATAGGCCTTGACCATCCAGTATTTACTCAAACCATAATACGGTTTTTATGCTGAATGGCATCACATTAAGTGGACGATTTGGGCTGTTGCAGAGGCTGTTGAGACAGCTGCAATGTGTCCTTTTGCTCTGTAAGCTATTGAAGCATACATATGTGTTAATCACAGTGCTTTTCTTGGGAACATAGGATACGTGAAAACCAATTTCAAGATGTTAAAGGTTTTCAGTGCTTTGTTTGTTTTCTGTATTTCTGGTTTCTGCTAAATGCTTTACAAGAACTTGAAATATGTTACCAGTTAATCACAAGCCAGCTTTGGCCAAAACCTTGTTGTTGAGGTTCAGTGAATGTGACAGAGCAATAGCTCACTTGAAATAATTGAAAGCAACAGAGAGGGTTGAGAGATATACAGGAAGGAACAACAGATTCTTCAGAATATGCTGTTTGCTTTGCAGTAGTAGTGCTTCTGCTTCCACCGATATATAGAGAGAAAACGCTTTCTTCTCTTGTATTTTGAGCTTTAGTTTTAATTGATTCTTCTTACCAAATTTACTGTTAATTGAATTTCACTCATAGCATTATCTGAATGACAGGCAGTCATAAAAAACATTGAATTGATGAAAAACCGTTTTTAAAGTTAAAAATGATCAGCTAGACTCAGTTTGGTTTTCCAACTTCATCTCAGTAGAAACTTTTATTATTGACAAGATCTTCAAGATGATAAAACCATGGGGTATAGATATCGACTGTAGGTATATGTCCCTACATATTTTATAGGTAGACTTTTTATGGTGATAGAGATAGAGGAATTCCCTGGTTTAGCACTGAAATTGATGTTTCTTTGACGTGTATCACATTCCCTAAAGGGCTGACACCTTTTTAGCAATTACAGCTCTTCTGTGCTCAATATTGGCATAGCAACATACCAAGCAGGAGTTTTTAGCTGTATGTAGTGTTATATGCTGCATCAGAAAAATTGCACATACAGCATTGTCAGTAGTTCTGACAGAGAAGCTCTATGTCAGCAAATTTTGGGTTAGTTATCAGTATAGTTCTCTTTTAATGGTCATTCACTTTTATTCAGCTGGGCCATAAATGCATGGGAGTCCCATTTATTTGAAGACTAAGGCTAGTTTTGCATTAGGGCTATGTTGCATTGTCTTAGCACTATTGTAAAGGCTATTTTGTAACCAAAAATTAACTGTACTTTTGCTTTTATTAAAAAATAAAATTAAAAAGCAATCCACATTTTGCTGAGATGGTGATCTTGCTATTCTGCAGGTGGTGTATAATGCAAAAGCACAAGGGTTGGCAAGCTCTTCTTTCAAAACTTTTCACAGAGAGAAGCATTCAGAGTAACTCTCGGTTAGGGTTACATCTGTCTCATTTTAGTAGCCAAATTTTTGGATATTTCGCTCATGTCATTTGCATCTTAACTGTGGTAACTTGCATTGAATGATGAAGATCGGCATTGCAGGGTCATCATCACATCCATTCTGCATACGAGAACCATGCAGATGGTTTATTTATGCAGTTTGCTTCACTGTGCTGCAGAATATGGGGATGAAAATTAGAAGTCAAAACAGAAGACTCCTGATTTATGGTTGAAGGAAGAGATGAATGAATCTTTTTAGCCAGAATGCTTTGTGTATTAGCTTGATTGACAAAGACATTCAAACACTTTGAACAAAAGGTCAATAGCTCTGAATGTATCGAATAGACATAATGCTTCAAAAATGTGGGTTTATGCCACTACCCCATGTACTGGAACAGATGTGGATAATATCTCTGTTTCTTTTGCATTACTCTTCAGACTGTGGCTTATTTGGTGTCCCGCTGTCAGTTTTACTGGAACAGGATCAGAAGAAGGTGCCAGGAACCAAGATCCCACTGATTTTTCAAAAGGTGAATAGGCACAAACAAGTCAACTTGTTACATACCTGCGAACGACAAACAAATTATGTTTCATCCTGGATTTATTTGCGTCTTGTAGCACAGTTTTCAGTATATGACTCTAATCAAAGTTGTTATAACTTTTATTTGCAGCTTTACTTATTAATTCAATAAATGCAATACTTTGTATCAGACATATTTTGAGTTAAAGGAATAAAGTTTGGGTTTTGTTACAACTGGTCTCCGTGATTTAGGCAAGTTTACTAATAAGCCTGAGAAACGTGACAATCAGTGTAAGAACCTACTGCAGCCAAATGCCGTTTCATAAAGGTGGTATAACTTCCATCATGAGTTGGGCTGCCCTTTATTTTTTTCAGAACAGATGCTTGAAATTCTGTGGAAATTCTCAATCCCTGTCCCACAGGCTGATCCTATCTTACTAGGAAGTGAGTTGGGCCGCAAGGCAGGTGGCTAGATGAGAATCAGCCTGAATAACTGCCTCTGTTGGTGGCAGCAGCCCTCTTCAAGATTTTTTTGCTTTAGTACACAGGGGGATGGTTTGGCCTGTATCATGCCATGGTGATGGGGAAAGGAATGGGAAAGATGATGGAGACTGTGGATTTACTGCCCATGCATAGCAAGTCTCACTGCATGACAAAGGAGAGAACACAGTGTGTGGACCTGTCCTAGCACTGACAGAAACTTGGTGCTGTGTCATCGCCGTTTCAGTAGGCTTGGGGACCTGCTTGTTAAGTTATTTTTTGAGAAACAGAAAACTCCAAGCAGTTTTGCATCACTCTCTTAAAACTATTGCTGTGTCATTCATGCCAGAAATTGCTTCCTCAGGATCCTAAAAATACATTTCTGGGAAAGATGCTATGTAGAAAAAAAGAAATCAGATGACAAAAAGTGATTGATCACTGTGTTATCCTACTCGCAGTGTAAGAATAGTTCTTCAGGAAGAAAATTCTACATAAACATTTCTAGCCTATAGATGTGATTTATTTTGCAAGGTGCAGACGTAACTTGGATTATGTTTTTTCTTTAAATGAGAGTATGAAAATAAAGCTTCTCATTTCTTGTGCCTGTTCTCTACAGCTTGTTCTTTCCAAGAATAGGGGATTTATATAAGGTACAAGAAGGAACATTTTTGTGCATACTGCTTTTTAAATGTACTCTGGTTATCACTGAAATGAAACAAGCCAAGATAATAGGAAGGTTGCTTAATTATTAAAAAAAAAAAAAACAAACCAAAAACCAAAAACATTTCATGAAAAAAACACCTAGTTTTTATTTCATTGAAGAATTGCCATTAAATATAATGACCTAATGTAGTCTAGCAGTTTTTCGACTGGAAAGTCTGAGGGTAATACCAATTCTTGTGTCTCTACCAGAAGTTTCTGCTAATAATAATTCAGGTCTCTGGCCTGGTAATGAAGCCATGCAAAGCAGCCCTGATCAAGATGAAGGGGGGATTTCCCATAGGGAGGAGGCTAGTGGTGGCTGGCAGTCACCTCTTACTGCCTGCCAAGGAGGCACTTGGGAGTGAGTGTGTGCGAAGGAGTCGTGGCCACCAGTGGTGCCTCTCCCTGGATGTGGTGATCGTGGCAAATCACATAACATGCCCACAGGGACTTTGTGTATGATAGATGGAACTGGCAGCTGCTGCTCGGTGTAAGCCAGGTACAGTGAGAGTTCGATGCAGCCAGTTAGTGCCTTTTATCTATCTATTTATTAACCAAGGAAAATATACCGCAGTGACACCTTTAATACTATTTTATAACTTTGTGGGGTTTTTTTTCTGTTTGAATGTTCTTATGGCATTTATCAGTTATATAAACACTGTAGTAGGTAACCCCCCTCTGATTTCTGTTACTGGAGAAAACACAACTGTGTTGCATAATTCTTCTTACTCGGGAGCTGGCACAGGAAGGTATAAAACAAAGGCAGTGCCCTAGTTAAACACTGTGAGAACCATTAGTGCTAAAATGATGTCATCAGCTTCTGATGTTTACAAATTTATTTTGAATACTCTTAGATCCATCCTTCATTGAATACTTCTAGGCATATCTTTTAAAGAAACAGAATTTATGATACATGTTTTAAATACTTCTGCAGAATTTCTACTAGTTTATCTCAGCGATGGGTAGGATGGGAAAGTGTTGGGTTTTTTAGGAGAATGCCAGTATTTGCAAAACTGAGGCTTCTTTTAAGCCTAGAAGTATTTAGTTTTTCTCTGGTGAAGTTGTAAAGAAAAGTATATATGAGGAAGTTAGTATCCCTAATGTTACCCTAATTATTTTGATTCTGAGACATTTTAACAAAGGTAGTAATTGGAATTTAGTTTTGATACCAGAGTAATTTTGGAAAAAAACCCTGCTTCAGTCTTTGGAGGAGACTTGGAGGAGGTCTAAAAATTATAGTTTTCTTTTTTAATAAAATAGACAAAACTCTTCTTTAACAGTATTCATAAAACAGGTAAGAACCATATTAAAGATTCTATTCTTGAACACCTGTAATCCATTTGTGTGTTTGTCTGCTTGCTTACATATGTATCTGCACAGATGCATGTGTACACATATGCACACCCACAGATACATGTATAAAGGCTCCATTATATCTGAACTATCTACCAGTAATTTTTAATTGGAATCTTCATTCATGCAGTTTGGTTTGTGTTTGGCAGTTGATTGCCCAGATAGAAGAGGCAACTCTGGAAACAGAAGGACTTCTTAGAATACCAGGTGTTGCAACAAGAATAAAGGTAAGACATTGCACAGATTCTTAACATCTCCCAGAATGTACCTGTGTTTGCTGATTTCATTTTGTCATACATATTTATTTTAACACCAGGTTGTTATCAAAATCTTGAAAAACAGAAAGCAAAATCTCTATTCAAAGAAAACTGAGTTATAATAGCCAGAAAGCTGATGGTTTCATCCAGTGTAGCTTTGGGGACAAGACTAGAGTTCAAGTTTGAAGTAGAGTCAAGCCTACGTTTCAAATTCAGTTGAGCCAAAATCTCATTAATTCTTGGCATGAGCTTTCCAGCCTTTTGCTTTTTCACTGAACAAGCTTAATCATCTAAACAGTTCATACACAGTCTTTTTACCCCAGGAGGAAGCTTTCCCTGGCATTGTGAGCCTGTTTTAATAGCTAGACTTAACCTGTGTTACAGGGCAAGGCAGCCAGCATGTACTGAAGAACCTCTCACATTTATTTTTATGAACAGCAATATAACTACTCAACTCACTAAGTGCAATCTTGTTATGCACATCCGTGCACACCAACACTTCGCAGAGTGAGTGCCAATTACATGCAGAGTCTTCCCCAGTATTTGCCTTAGTGCAGGAAACTAAATGCATGGCATGATTCATGCCAAGAGTCAATGTGTTAAAAAGATGGTCTGAACTGGCATTAAATTCCAAACGGAAAAGACCATTTAAGTAGTTTCAGCTGTCCAGAGATGTCTGCCAGGCTCTGTTCTGTAAAACTTGGTACAGCAGCTGGTTCATTAGAAACAACTGAAAGAAGGGAATATTATGGAAATTGGCTTTGTTTATTTACCAGTAACTAAGAGATTTTTTTTTTTTACAATTTTCCTCCATTCTTTATTTTCCACTTTTCGTCAGTTCTGCAAACTGGAATGATTTCAAAGGGATTTTGTTTATTTGTTTATTGTTTGATTTTTATCAATTTAATATAATTTCCCAGGCAGGGGATCATTTGCTATTTAATTTTCATTATTTTTTTACCTCTTCATTTGCAGATGCTTCTTTGAATTAAGCAATTGTTTTGTTAGCAAAGATGTTAAGTTCCCTAACTTATTCAAATAGAAAATTTTATAGAAAAATGAAGAATCTAGCATACTGATTGATGTTTTCTCTTAATTTTCTTAATTTTTTATCTCCTATAGAAAAAAGAAATATTTTCCTCATTATGTAGTTTTACAGAAAGGTACAGATAATCTCAAGAAAAAATATTTTGCTGTCTTATTCTACAGATTTTAGAGTTGTTATTAAAGCATTGCGTTATAGCTTTTAGTTAAGTACATTTACTTTAAAATCTAAGCATTGGTGCATAAGGATGCATAGTTGGCATTTCTGCCCTTGCCTCTCAGATAAAACAATTAATTTTATCTAGATGCGTAATACTGCTGATGAGACTCAAGGGGAGAATTTTCATTTTTATTTCTAAAGCTTGCTTTTGTTGATGAGCAGGAGATCATACCCGCTTGACTTTAGACATCTGAGTTGGGATCTTTGCACCTTTGAACCCTCTACATAATCAGTGGAGACAGAAGATCTCTCTGGAGATCAGTTGAGAACATCCAACTTTTATATCAACCTAAGTGTCCATGTTTTCTTTGGAAATAGATCCATTTTCCATTTGGACAAAGTTAAATATAATGAGAACAGTAGCTTAAAAATTTATCTAGTATTCTCCATCCAATGTGCCCTTCTTGTTCAGATAAATAATTAAGGCCATATTTTTCCATAGCACTTTCCCTCACTTCATCTCACATACTTTGCAAAACAAACCAGTGCCTCTGCCCTCCTTCTCTGCCTGGAAGAGCTGAGGCAAGAAGTAAGGGACTTGTGAGAGGTGTCTCAGGGCCACTTCCTACTGTGCTGACTGAGAGTGAATGCAAGGCTGGTACTGATGCTTAGTGAGAGTCTAAGAAGGTCTCAGTGTTTACAGTGTGTTCCCATTTATACATCTGCGAAGCCCAGTAATACCCCTGCTGTGGGAGCAGGGCAGGTACACGGTAATGTCCACTGTCAACAGTATCACGCCCTTTCCCAGCCTCACAGTTATGAGGTATCACTGAGACTTTGTATGCTGCTTATTCTGCTGCATAACCTCGTGTTATGCAGTACAGTCCCCTTCCGCAGAGGGCACATTTGACATCCATTGCTTGGCAAAGCTGTATGTGCCAAGTGGCATGGAGTAATTCCCTGTAGATGGCCAAACATCCAGCTATCCAGTCACATAAATCTTTTCCCTGTGTTTTAAGAAAAGAACCAGCCTCACCTTAGTGTATGTTTTGATACAAAACTGTGTCAACATGCCTTATTGCTGTATTTGTTTATGAAAATGGCTGTGCATGCATTCCAGCAAGACTATTTGATAGCAGTTTCAGAATTGCTGTCTGTATCAGCCACATCTTAATATTTTGGGGGAGGTGGAGTCATAACCCTTACGTGCATGGGTATGATATCTGGTTCTTAGAATATATTCCATATGGCCATGAGGCAGCTCCAAGGGATTTCTTCCTATATGATTTGGCCATCTGCTGCCTATTACTATGTGTTTGCTTTCAGTGCTTTTGATCCCAAATTTATCTTTTTGTAGCAAAAGATCAGTGGCAGCTGGAGTTAAGTGATATTTCAGATGTTCCTTTTTCCCCTCTTTCAAAGTATGGAAAGTATTGCTGTGTGTATAATGCATGACTTCCAGCAGCCAAGTGTTATTGGTGCTCTCTGTACTGCCTTTCAGAGTCTATGCCAAGAACTGGAAGCAAAATTTTATGAAGGGACTTTCAACTGGGAAAATGTAAAGCAACATGATGCAGCAAGTCTTTTAAAACTCTTCATCCGTGAACTGCCTCAGCCACTCCTCACTGTAGAATATCTGAAAGCTTTCCAAGATGTACAGAGTGAGTAGTGTCCTTTCTGTCTCAGCTGTGAAAAACTGCAGTGCAGAGAATTGCCTCTTTGCCATAGCAGTATTTTTTGCTAATAATATGTGAAACAGAAACAAATTGAATAACAACTATATGGCTTCTCCTGAGAAAAAACTGAGCATATTTTTGCTTATGTACAGCTAACTTTTTTCATGTAATATCAAGGTTAATATTTTAGATATAAAATGAAAGCACACAGCCACTTTCTGATGTTACTGACAGTCTTTAGGAGGTATAGATGGGTTATAAAGAAATGGTGTATGATGGCATCAGTTTATAAACAATATTTACCTCAAAAGAAAACAACAGCAAAGGTACAATAGTTCTGCAGAAAATCTAAAAAATGGTAATTTATACTGTGTAGGGTATTTTATCCATTTATAGCAGGAAAAGTTAGAGCAGAATAGTTAGAACTGCTGATCACCCGTAGTCCCCTGAGATCAGCAAGTTCCTGTGAAAATGTCTTCGTTGCCAGCTGGTCACCAAGACAGCAAACATACCATCTGTAATTGAAAGAGGGCGGCTTGGTGATAATGAATCAGGAGTAAGAACCCACAAACATAAACTCCCCAGCCAACACAGGGGCACAAGTTTCAGAAAAATCTATTCCCTTGTCTGCAGGCAGAGTGATGGCTCATTTCTAATGGATACTTTCAGGGAATTCCCATGGACAGGCAGATAGACGAGTATCTTGAAAACGGGGCTGTGTCAGTATCAGGGTTGTGAGCTGCCTTGCAAGCCGTTAAATTTGTGGGAGTTAGTGCTTAAGCCTGGTATTGTTGATTTTGCAGTACTGAACAGGAACGTAAAACTAGCCCTAGTGCTTTCAAATGATGTTGGCAGCAAACAGCTCCTCAAGGTTGTTCCACTTCCATAATAGTGATTGGAGCCAGGAGGGTTTCTCCTTGCCCCTCCTGAGCTGTCTGAAGGCTTATGTGGTTTTACTTACCCAGAAGATACTCAGGTGCCAGGATCCAAAACACTTTCTACATTGAGCTAAAGGATTTAATGCAAAACAGATACAGCACTTCATGGCCTCCTATTGTTTAAATTGTCTGCCTGTCTTGGTGGTTACATGTAATAAGATAAGGTGGCAGAGAAAAAGAGTCATCTTTGTGACAGTAATCAGTGTTTTTCATGGTACTCTAAGTAGCATGGCGGTTAGAATTAAATATTTAAACAACAGAATTTAAACAATTTAATTTCATTTAAGTAATTTAAACGACTAAAATTCAACCATTATTTAGGTGAACAGACAGAAAACCTTGATTTATGTTAACAACTTTTAATTGTTTTGCAATTCCATTTTTGCTTACATTCCTAGGGAAAGGTTGAACTCTCACTGCTTTTTGAGCATTATGATCTGGTGGTTTGGAACTAAATTTAAGGCTTATTTTTAATATATGTCTTTCTAGGGCAGAGTCACTGTTATCACCACTTGCATGTTTTAAATGGCAATATACTTTGTTGCTTATTTGTTCAGATCCTTAATTTTTATTATGGTAGAAAGTAATCAACAAAGTTGTTGGTTTGTTTGTTTGTTTGTTTTTTTTCTAATTTCATCGTTGAACTTTTTTTTGGTGATATATCCCAAACTGGTTTGGATAAAATGCATTTGAAATAGCAGTTCAGTTAGAATCACAGCAGGATGCACAAGAACAGCCCTGTTGAATTTTGAAATAGTGTGACAAAACTATGTCAAGTGCAAGTACTTCTGTCTTCACTCGTTTTATGTATGGTCTGATTCATTAGGAATCTGCTGAGAAGACTTGACAGAGCATGTTCTAAAGCGTGACAGGGGGAAGTTTATCACAGATGACAAACGTGAGAAAGCTGGGACTTTCTGCTGCTCAGAACTGACAGAACGTAGGAGCTTTTCTAGGAGGTGGAGGAATGTAGGGATGTGCCCATCCTGCATCTTGGGTGAATGGCACACCACTGAGCAATTGGGTAAAAGGCAGAACCAAATCACTTTAATTATAGCTCGCTGCATTTGGTACAGCACTCACTGCTCTAGATATGTGTTAAGCTTCTCTGCTCTTGGCTTTATCCCCACTGGTTTGCCATTGCAGCTGCTGCTACTTATGTTGCTGGAGACCTGCCTTACTCAGCAACACGTGGTATTCATTCTGTGTGGGTGACTTGGGAGACCATGCAACTGCTAAGGCGATCAGAGAAACTGTGAAAGCAGTTTGGAATATACTCTTTCATATGTTAGGGCACAGGCTCAAAAAGGGAGGAACCGTTAGCTGACTCTTTCTTCTCGTAACATTGCAAAATAAAGAATCACAAGACATCTAGAAAATACTGCCAGAAGACTGCTGAGTCATACAGCAGCTGAATCCTAAAAGAACATTTGGAAATGAGTATCAGAAAACAAGGATCTGCCAGTCTGTTGTCATACTGTGACAATTAGCCGTCTGTATGCATTCGGCATTATGCTAGAGGTTCCCCTTAGAAATCATGCTTTTTGAAGAGGACAGATGACAATTTTAAAGTAGTGAGGTTCGTGTGCTTCACTTGCAGAACTTCCAACGAAGAAACAGCAACTGCAAGCTTTGAATCTGTTGGTTCTCCTTCTACCTGAAGCAAACAGAGACACTCTGAAGGTTAGATTTGCTAATACTTTCTTCCTGCACAAATATACAAGTATTTTGTCTGTTTCTGTGAATCCACTGTAATGAGTGCTGTTGTCTTTTCACATTCTTTTTTTCCAGTTCATCCAATTTTGTGGTGGTTGTGTTTTGGTTTTTTTTGAACTTCAGGAAAGAAGCCCTCAGAACCCTGATTCATCCCAAATCACTTTTAAGTCATTGAAATTTTTCCAGGAGATTGCAGTAATAATCTCCCAGTGAGCGACCTTTTTCTCTTACAAGTTCTGTTCCTTTTTTTTTTTTTTTTCAGCAGCAGTCATTATTTCCACTGCAAAAAATAACCAATCTTAGAATACTGTGAATGAGAGTTTGCAGTTATGAAATGGGTTTAGCTCTTAATTTTTATTCCCTGCTTTTCTCTGTGTTGTCTGTTTCTCTTCTTTATAATCTAGAAATTTACACCTCCTATTGGTATTTGCAGCACGTTACATGGAGTCTTCCAATTTGGACTTGTCCTTTTGTAGCAAAGCTATTCATCTTTTTTAGAACATGCTTACTATTGAAATTGCTATAATCAAAAACAAATGTGCAGGATTTATGTAGGATGCAAAACAACATCTATTACAGGCAAAAAATCCTATTAAGACTTATTGTTCAAACATGACTTTGGTTTTGAGTTTATTTACTGTATGGAAGCAGTCAGGATGGCTCCTAAGTTGAGTTACAAATACCAGGAGCTGAATTAATTGAAGATTGTCAGTTTCTACCTGGCTACCCGTCACTTGCAATGCAGTAGTTTATTCACAAGTTGCTTACCTTACAGAACTAGCTACTCCATGCTTCCATAATCATGACAACTGGCACTATTCTGTTCACTTTCAATTGAAGAAAACCCAACAGTAACATTTTCACAAGCATCTGTGGGATGCTACTTATGCACCTACATAACAGGGGTATTGGAAAAAAATCTTACTGTGCAGGGCTTTGAAGTCACTTGTATTCTTTTGAAAATGTTATCCGCAGAAATAACAAGAATTTTGTACTTCGTTACTTAAAGGAAACAAAGCTTGCATTACAGTCCTCTGAACAAACATATCCACACTTCCTATTATTGGTTGCTTCTAATATGGTTTTACAAGGAATGAAGAGCTTTTTCCAAAAATATGTAACATCGTGTTTCACTCGTAACTTTTTCATGTGCGGAGTTGAGCTGTAAGTTCTGCTGTTCTTTCAGGTACTGCTTGAATTCCTCCAAAGGGTAATTGATCATCGAGCGAAAAATAAAATGACGCTAAAGAATGTTGCAATGGTGATGGCCCCAAACCTTTTCACGTTTCATGGCTTTAGCTCAAAGACTATTGAACAAAGCGAGTTTGTTATGGCAGCTGGAACAGCAAATGTCATGCGTTTTATGATTCAATACCAAAAACTTCTCTGGACAGTAAGTGTATTCGTAATGGGCAGGGAGGGGTCAGGGAAATAATACATTTTACAAACAAAGCATCTGAACAAAGAAGTAATATGAACTTATTTCCATGATTTAGAGATACATAAGCCCCATCCAGCTGAGTTCTTGTCTATAGGTAACTCTTACAGGCGTGGAACAGGATCATTACATCTTATGGTAGAGTTAAGCTGTGATGTTCTGAGTTTTAATATTGTATGTACTGTATGTGAACTCAAGAGTAAGTCCTTGGGGAATCTTTGTATTTGGCCTATCAGTATACATTGTTATTAGGAATTTATTCTTTTATTATTTTATTCTTTTTATTCTATCTTAGAGATATTAACAGGAAACAATGATTAGTCCATTTCCTTTTTGGGCCAAACTTCTTATTATATACAACATGTTTTGATACAACATGAAGTTGTGTCGTGGTCTTAAACAAAGCTCTAGCTTAGATACACTGGAGAAGTTCAGGCTTTATTGTCCATCAGCAACTTTAAAAAATTTTGACCTTCGCTGCATGTGAGGAAATATTATTCTCACCATTGTACAGATGAAGTATTGAGGGAAATTTTTTGGCTGAGGAAAGTAAAAACACTGCATGATTCCACCTCTCTTCCTCTGAGAGCTCACTGCATGAAATATAGCATCACAAATGGAGCGTTTTTAGAATTGTTTGACAGCTTTATATTACTTGAATCTTTAATTATGACTGGAAAGAAATACTACTTTTTTTCAAGTTCTACCTGTTTGTCAATTTACAAAGTTTTGATACATTAGTTACTTAAGGAACTTACATAGATATTCATACTTAATATCTGTATTCATCTAGATTCCTAAGTTTATTGTTAACCAAGTGAGAAAACAAAACACTGAAAGCCAGAAGAAGGAGAAAAAGGACAAAGCTATGAAGAAGCTTCTGAAAAAGATGGCTTATGACCGGGAAAAGCATGAGAAACAGGAAAGGACCCCTAATGATGTAAGGAAACATACATCTCAAGTACTTTATTAGTAAGACTGTGACTTCTAGTGAAAAAGTGGATATAGCAGAGGGGATATCTACCGTTGTTTAACTGAGAATTTCAATAGATGGCAAGTTAATATGGTTTTCATAGTTTATTGGTTACGAGCATGATGCATTTAGAAGATTGGGCTGTTTGTTTGGTTTATTTCCCAGATTTTTCAAAATAGTTCTAGTCTGAAAAAATATATCCCACAGGTTGTGTCAATTTGGGCATATGAAAAAAAAATACATTAGATCTATATGTGTAGAGGGAGGAAGTGCTGTGACAACATTCAGTATTACTGTACTCACATCTAGATGCATTGCAGCCCAATGAAAGTCACAGTAGACCATGTGTTTACTTAAAAAATAAAGATCTAGATTTCACTATTTGATATTTAATAGTGTTTGGAAACAAAGCTAGCTGAGTATGTAATCTACAGTTCTGTATCTCTCCATTAGGTAACTGACCCACTGATGGGTTCTGCCAGACACATCAGTGATGTCAAGGCATGAATTTCAGTGTAACACTCTTCACACATTTTTTTACAATGAAAAAACCCCATAAATCCTGTGGAATAAGTGTTTGTTTTTCTCATACTTTAGAAATATTTTTATTGAACTGTTCCCACTGACATAAAAACTTTTCAAAAATATATCTCACGTACCTTCAAATTGTTTATTATTTACGATTTTGATGAAGTTAGTAATTACAATTTTTTGAAGCTCATTACCCTATTCAGTAGGGTATCTTAATTATAATGCATTTGAAATACATGATTCCAAAGTTATTTTAAATACATAAACAGGTAACACCAAATGTGTGCATCCTAGTAACCTAATGAATGCATATCAGATTTAGGTGGTATGAAAATACCACCTTGTGAGCTTGAAGTCATAGTGAAGATTCTGGTGAATTAGAGACATCTTGTGGTAGTTTATAAAAATGCGTTGATCTGTATGGACTTCTTACCGAGTATGTGTATGGCAAACTTGTACAAAAAAGGGTTGTTATGTTCAAATAAAGGCTTTTTTAAAGCTATTCAGTAAAAAATAGGATATGGCAAATGAATAGGCTATAATGTTCCTCAAATCTGTCTGGTTTAATCTTGCAAGTATGTATTCTTTTTTATTTTTGGATGTGCAAATATCTGGATCCTTTGGACAACTGCATCCAAAATCTGTTGAAGGCTTGTATTTTAGTGTTCCTACCTCATTTTGTATGCAATATTTGACACATCTGTTAATGTCCAAAATTAATTAATTTCTCAGGCATCACTTTGCCTTAGTTTCATATCTGTCTTTTTATGTGAAGGAATCTGTACACAAAATGAGGACTTACATACAATCTAAAAATAAAGCTAATTAAATACTGACATTTGTTTTACCCTAATAAGAATTATTTGTATACTGTTCAGCTATGATGAGATGATGCTTAATGCTGCCGTCCCCTGTTCAACATAGAAATAACAGGAAATACACTGAAATAGGCAACTGCTGTTGCATATTCAGTTATTGGAATTTTTTTTATAATTTGGTCTTTTGGAGTAAAATATGCCTTTTTAATCCACTAGGGAGCTAGGGCTGAAGTCTCATGTAATACATTCTTACTCAAATGTAAATGTAAAGTTACTATTCAGTGATTTTCTTTAATCTGTGGGGATTTTCTGCAAAATTAAATTGTACAATTTTTATTTGAAGCATTCAGAAATTTGAGTGCCTGAGAATATATTACGCTTAAAATTATATTCACAAAGTGTTTCATTGTGAATGACAACTTTGTAAATTTTTCCGAGTAAAACATCATCTCATTCTTTAAGGAAAATTTTTTATTATTCTTTTTCCAAATTTTCAATTTATATTGTCTTAACTTGAAATTGAGATGGTTTACCTCTGCAGTTTCTGAACTGCATTTCACTATAGACGGCAAGTGAGGTACCCAAACTTGTGATGAATCCCCACTCCGATGAAAACTGTTTGAAACTTCTGAGAACTAATTATCTTGTCTGCAGCTGAACAAAAGATAAGTAAAAGTTGCTATTTTCTGCCACATGCTGTGGCACCCCATGAGATTAAACATAGGTGGACAGAGCTTGAGTCACTTCCATACTCTCCAGAAATACCTCAATATCTGTATTCTTAATGCAGTTAGCTCATTAGGATAAAATTTCATTATATCTCTGATGAGGCCTCTCTATCAATCACATTTCTCCTTTTAAGATAGAGGTTAAATAGCATTTACTGCAAGCTTTGGGCAAGATCTCTGTACAGTGCTGAGAGTGCTTAATATAAGAGGGCTTATGAGGGTTAATTGCTTTTCAGGATACCTGTGTATACCTATGGCCTCAAGTCAGTGTCAGGGATTAAGTCATTAGGTTGCTTTGGGGGTGTGTAATGCTCTAGCCAGGCAAAGAAAGGTGCCCTCAGGACTGGAAATTTACCTACTAGCATTTTAGCAGATTTATACCATCTGTCATTATATTCCTCTGTATGTTGCTATCGTTCCAATACAAGGAGCAGTCACGTTAGCAGCACAACACAATGCTACTGGGGTTATCTAACACAGGTTAGAATAACCATCGTATGCTATAGTCATTCTGTTTGCATAACCTGTTTGAATTTTCACAGTATAATGTTACTGACTCTTGCTGTATTTGTTATGCACTGCAGTGCCAGATTATTTACTAAAAAAATTACTATATGCTAAATCATTTCTATTTATATAGTTTTACAGTTGTTTGTCCCAAACTAGGTGCAGCACTTTGTAGTTCAAAGTGAACAGCTGTATCACATTTCTTTCAGACTTTGTCTCCTAAGTAGCAAGATCCTTTTGAATCCCAGTTTTGTTTTTCTTAATGCTTGTGCCCCATTCCTGAATTTAATCTACATTCTATATTATATTCTGTCCTCTGAGTTGTTAGTGAAAATACTGCATAGTCACTTCATTCCTCTTTTCATGTAGCCAGATGAATATTGAAGTGTGTCATGCAAAATGGAACAGGAGAATCTGGAAGAAACCCACCCCAGATCCTATAGCCAAGCAGCTGCGGTTTTTTGTGCTCAATATAGATTCAAGTCCCTCTGAAAAGAAAGGGTTTGAAAGAAGATGAGTACCCTACAGGTGATGCTGTGACTGCTACAGACTAAAGTGTTGTAGGCCAGTGTATTTTCTATCAAGTAAGGCTGTTATCTCTCTTCAGGTTTTTAAAGTGTGCAAGTACCTAACTTAGCCAGAGGTTTCAGTGTTGTAAACCTCATCCTGAGAGAGCCTGTGACGCAGGAGAGGGGACTCGCAAACTAAATAGTATAGTTGACTCATCCTTCAGCATATTGTTAGTTACCTTATAGGTATTTGGCTTATATGTTGTGATGTGGAGCCCTAACTTGGATATTTTGAATTGTGCTGTGCAGAGAACAGGTCCTTCTGTGACTCTGCTCTTAGGTGTTTTATAGCCATGTTTTCTTTCCCACTAGCTTGCACAGTGAATGGGCTAGGGGATGCTCAGTATCTGTTCTCTCTATAGTTCGGCACTGTGAACACATTGTACAGCTGAGCATGAGTTCTTCTGTAAATGCAGGTGGTGAAAGTGGCAAAATGCATTCGTTAGCTGAGCTAATAATGATTCTTTCTGAATAAACAAAGTAATTATTCTGTTTGGTCTGTGACCATAATGTTACAGTTCTGTGGACATTCCTTGTTTTTTCTCTCATCTACTTAAAGCAGCCAGGTTTTTACATCATTTAATCACATGCCTGTTTTATAGGAAAAGAAAACCCAACAAACCTGTTATCCAGGTGAAGGTTGGAAAAACTCCATTAAAATAACTGAGACAAAATGATACAGAATTGAATACAAAAATGAAAACCAGTTTAAATTTACTGTGCTGAATTTGACGAAAAGACTAGTTGAGAACATTTGTAAATAGCCATTTCATCCTTAAAAGTTCCTTTTCCTTTTGTGAGGATCCCTACAGCTTGGAAAGGGGTAGAAGATTTTTAAGCAGGAATTAGCTTCCTAGC